GATTTACACCCTCGGAAACCCTGTACAGGGTCGCTATGGGTCGGAACCGACTCGACGGCACGTAACAACAACAACAACTTTGTCTCTCTCATTGTATCTTGGTGTGTCTTTCTATATTTCTACCTCTGCCAGATATCCCTACTTCATGAACCAAACATCCGTATCAAGGCAGGTCCTCGGCAAGTCCTGATATGGTGCTGTGGGTTAATGTGTTGGCTGAAAAGTTGGTTTGAATGAGAAGTTAGGTGGTTTAAACTCACCAGATTCTCCCTGGAAACCCTATACAGGGTTGCTATGAGTTGGACCTGACCCTATGGCACTTAACAATAACAACAGTTGTTAGGCTGATAGCAATTTAGAATTCTTAAAAAGAGAAACATATTCCCCTTAGTGCCATAATTGTCTTCTTTTCTCCCAAAGGAAAGTAGATTTAATACTAGTTATAGAGAAAACTTCATTGGAAAGTATATATAAAATGTAGAGTTCATTTTTCTTTTCTGATGCATTTTTATTGACTGGATCATTTTGCTTGATGAAACTTTATGTTGGTAATCGCATCGCTAAAATTGTATATAAAAACAAAACAAGATTCTATGTATTGCATTCTGGACTTCCTAAGCTGAAATAAATAATTGGATATTTGTAGAGATGTTAATATCATGTTTAGATTTATACATTTATAAAACAAGAGAAAATCAAATACTAAATCACTAAAATAAAGTGAGTATTTTTTTTATATATTTGGTGAATGGACAAATACACATATAAAATTTTGTTTTAATCAATTTCATTCCTAAAAAAATGCATATGCCCATCCTCCTATGTGTTAAACCTTTGTAAATGTCTGATGTGGGTGATAATGAATGTTTCTGACCCAAGTATTTGGGTTTATGTTCCTAGGAAATTGGAAAATTCATAAGACATAAATTGGCCACATTGGTGTCCCTAAGACATAAACACACCACGCTGATGTCAAGAAACAGGTGAAGAGTTTACTTTTTGCTTGTTTATTTCCTCTATTTAGCTAGATATTAAAATTTTGTAATCTATGAATGTTATAGATTTTGTTCCTTAGCATTATTTTTTAAGTAAATTTAAATACAGCCTATTTTTCGAAGAAAATTTAAATGTATCGTTACCTTGATACAGATAGACGACATAGGTTTTAGTCTTGGATAGTCTTAAAATCTACCAGTGATGATTTCTTTAAGTAGTTTTCTTTTCCCCTTTATATTGGAAACTTAAAGTTAATATTTGATACAGAGACAAGTTTCATATGTGGGACTCTGCCTTTGGCAATATGTAGGAAGGTTAAATATAGAAATAGCAAAATAACTTGGTGATTTGAGTGAATTTATAGAATAATTAGGTAGGTGTATTAATCTAGTTAGTAAATGTTTGACTACATATGAGAATAAAAAATCATTGTTCAACAGATATCCTTATTGTCCTCATATGGCTACATTGATAGCAAAGGGGAAGATCATAATTCATAATGATGTTTTTGATTATATAGTATATGAGCTACAAATCCTTTGGGTTCATAAAAAAGGTTACTGTCCTTAACACCATATTGAGATATCTGTGACAACTATCATTATAACTAGATTGATAAATATATGGGATTTAAATTTTATTTGCTTCAAAAGGAGGAGCTTGTTAATATAAATGTAAGATATATACCTACCTACGTGAATAATTTCTGTATTGCACATGCCGAGTTGGTAACTTTGGGAAAATAGCATATCTTATTTTTAGAGAAATAGATTGAGCATGTAGTCTAATGTAGAGACACCTTAGCTCTTTTTATGTGGAGGTTATTCATTTGTTTCCTATAAACCTTCTTAAAAGAAAAAGTCAAATTTGTAAGTGAAGGTGTAAATAAAGTAGGTCTTCAGTGTGTAATTTAATATTTTCTATTTCAAACATTATTACTTATAAGAATAACACCTTCATTGATTTTTAAAATTATGATTACCTTTTCAATGTGTATATATATGTTCATATATAAACAAATTGAAATTTCATTGCTATATAGAATCTTGAACATTTGAGAACTGACAATGTAGATATTTTTGTTTATTTGAACCTTGCTCTGAACAAATGCTATTATCCAAGCTCTCTGTGCTTATGGTATTAATGCTGTTGTTCTTGTGGTTAAGTGCCTTCAATTTGGTTCTGACTTATAATGATCCTGGAGAGGGGTTCTGAGGCTTTTAAAAATCTTTGCAGGAGGAGAAAGCCTAATCTTTCTCCCACTATCATATTAATATTCCTACCTAAACTTCATTATCTGAAAAGCATCATCATTAGGAATTTCTTTTTTTTCACCTGTACAGTATATTGCTGGTGAAGAAGAGGAAAGGGTTGTAACATCTCCCAAGTAGCCTCAGGGATTCCAGTTTTACTATTGTAGGGGAAAAGTGGCGGCGGGGAGCTGAACACTATCTTTCTGTTTTAGTAAAGAATGATTATATATAATTTGCTGTATTTGTACTATACATGTTATCTGAGGCAAGAAACCATTGTCTTTTTGCATTAAGTAGAGGATGATATAGAGAGTGATTTTACATTTAGTTTTCTAATGATCTTTATTCGTTCAAATTTTCTTATGTCACATTAAATATAAAGAAGGTATTTATTTTTAAACAAAATCACAAAAGTACTTATTTGCAGCTTCAGAAAACTAAAATGTTTTTGTAAGGAGTCCAAAACCTGGTCATTCTAAACTGCTGTTGTTAAGTCCCATTGAGTGGCTTCCAACTCATAGCTACCCTTTGTATGGGTTTACAAGCTGGTGGATTTGAACCACCGAGCTTGTGGACCTTGTGGTTAGCAGGCCAGTGCTTACACTACAGCACCACACCAGGACCAGGATAAGCACTAGACCATAAAGTCAGTTTAAATCACAAGGCTGTCATATCCAACCACAGAGTTGCACCTTGGAAACTCTATACAGGGTTGCTATGAGTTTGAGATGGCTTGACAGCACTTAACAACAACAGCAAGGTATATTTTTAAATAAATAAAAAATTATTCAATAATAAATAACCAACAGTCACAGAATACTTACTTTTTGAAATCCTCTATTCCCCTATGTTTTCTTAGATACACAGGCAAAAAAGTAGTTAAGGGACAGACAGTTGAATATATAAGCAAGTCTGTTTCTTTGGATCATATTCAGAAGCTATTTACCAGGTTGCATTTGTATTTTGTAGGTTTAACTTAATTTTAATAAGGTATGCTTTTGAATGAATTACAATACTATTGTCACATTTAATTATAATAATTTTGAAATCATAATGATTCCCATATATTAGAAACACTTTGTTGAGTAGGCAATACACAATTTAGTCATTTCACCATTCAACAATTATTTATCTACCATTCAACTTGTTTCTAATAGTTGCTAACAACTTGCACTATTCATATATCATAGACTAATACACACCTTCTCCTTTCCTGACACTTAGTATTGTGACAATACATAGAAGTATACATATTGAGATTAAAAAACAAGGTGGAATAAAGTATGTGTTTTGTTGGAAGTGAGATGTTTCCTATCAGCTTTTCCTGAATTGTACAATGTCATATATTGCTGAAGGGATAGCAATGGTTTTGGTAAGAAGATAAATTGTTAAAAGGATCTATAGTTACTAAGAGGGGTCCTTCTCATTTAGGACATAAGGATTAATATCCTAATAAGTGCCAAAATACAGGTGTGCTTTTAACAACATTCTCAATATTTGATTTTTCTAATTAAAGTCACAATAGCCCATGGGTGGCCCTACTAGTTTAAGCTCAAAACTACAATCAGAAAGATTGATGATTCAGAAACACCCTGAGGAGCACTGGAGGAAAGGCCTTCCTAAAACTAACAGCCACAAAAATCCTATGGAAGGCAGTTCTATTCAGATAAATACATGGTCTCCATGAGCCCAGAATGACTTGTTAGCAACTTGTATTATATTATTATTATTCAGATCACACACCATTTTTTTAAAGGATATTTCATCTATGAGTTCCTTGGTTTTGATACTCACCTTTACATATGCATTGGTCCCATTCCCTCCAGGAGATGGATGTCTATAACCTAACAACCTTCACAGAGTTCATCCTCATAGGGCTCTCTGACCTTCCTGAGGTACGCTACCCTCTCTTCATGGTAATTGCTGCTATCTATCAGATCACCTTGTTGGGAAATATAGCCATTCTTCTTGCTATTGCAACTGAGAAAAGGCTGCACACACCCATGTATTATTTTTTAGCAACTATGTCTCTCTTGGATATTTTCCGCCCATCAACTATTGTTCCCAAAATACTCAATAACCTCTTGACCAAGAAGCAAAACATTTCTTTTGTTGGGTGTGCTTTGCAGCTTTTTTTCCTACTAGCACTAGATGGGACAGAAACCTTCCTTCTCTCTGTCATGGCTTATGACAGGTATGTGGCCATATGTTTTCCCCTTCATTACACCCTTATCATTACAAATAAGCTCTGTGCCCAACTCACAGCTGGTACCTGGACAACCGGGTTTTTGCATTCCCTTCTGTACACTGTGTTCATATTCCACTTATCTTTCTGTAAATCTAATCTAGTCAACCAGTTTTATTGTGACATCCCCCCACTAATGGCCCTGTCTTGCTCTTCCACATATGTGACAGAAATGCTTGTTTTAGTAGTAGGAGGCATCTTAGGGGTTAGCAACTTCCTTGTTGATGGTATCTCTTATTTCTACATAATAGTCACAATCCTAAAGATCCAGTCAGTGGAAGGGAAGCGCAAAGCCTTTTCCACTTGTGCTTCTCACCTCTTTGTACTTGGTTTGTTCTATGGCACAGCATTGTTTACTTATATCCGCCCCTCCAGTCACCACTCCCCAGCTAAAGACATGTTCATTTCAATGCTGAATGTGGTCATTACACCAATGTTAAACCCAATAATCTATAGCTTGAGAAACACTGAAGTAAAAGGAGGTCTCAAAAAGATTTTTTGCTATAAAACTAAATCATGTTTAGAAAAAAACATAATATTAAAATGATAATATCTACTTAACTCTCCAATTAGAGTGACTTTATAGGAAGGATTGATAAAATCATAAAAACTATAGTTTTCTAGTCAGAGAAGGAGGACTTACATACATATATAGAGAAATGTGTGTGTTAGGGAACTGCTAATATTTGTAGAAACTCAGTCTCTCTACATACAGTACAACATTCCATACCCATACTCATAACTATCCATCTTGGTATGGCACTGTGGATTAATGCACTGCATATTAAAGTCAGTTTAAACTACAAGGTTGGTGGCTCAAGCTCACCTGCTGCTCCTCAGAAACCCTATCCATGGTCACGATGAGTCAAAACTCACTTGATGGCACTTAAGAACAACAACTATACCTATCCAACTATACCACCTATATAAATCACACAGCATCATTTTTATTTTAATTCCCATATCTGTATCTAACTTTTTAATAGATCTTTCTTTTATTTAATTACCTTATTTGTCTATCCACTTATCCTGATTTAATTCTTACTGGGTTTTTTTAGTTCTATCTCTTATGCAAATTTGGTTTCCACGTACTTTATATAATTCTACCTGTCTTACTTTCCTATGTTCATATTTTTTTTCAGTTCACCTTATCTTTCCAATGGGGGAATTTACGTTCATTTAAAAATTTTAACAATAGATATTTAATTAAGCTAAAAAAGTACTATTATCAGAACTTCAACTTATTTTTTAAAAACTGCCACTACCTTAACACACACATTCACACATACCAAACTTTTCTGTAACTGCCTAATATTTTGTTACTTTTATCTTTTTTTTTTTTTTCAAACCTACTTAGACTAAAATGGCTTAGAACCAAACACTTCCATTCATTGCTAAGGAAGAGTTGTGTTTCAAAATCTTGACCACTCTCCACTTTCACTTCAATCTTTTTCCCTGCCACCTATAAGAATAGAAAGATTTTTCTCTGACTATATGATATGCCATGCTTAGGTGATATACCATAATAAGTAAACAATAACATATATTTTTCTCAATCATTTTCACTCCAATTACTTCCCTAAGAATAGTCTCCAGTAGGGGTATCACATTAAGCAATATTTGGTATTGTCTTCATTTCTGATTCCCTCTGAATCTCCTGCATGCAATACAATTTCTGGTGTCCTTTAAGGGATATATTTTTTTCCTTCATTTAAAATCGAAGTAGTGACCACATTGCTAATGAAGTATATTTATATTATTCAAAGACCTGCTCATTCAATCGCTGAAGGGTCATTGATTTTTTAATTATTTTAAAAACACTTACAAGTAATAGCATTGGGCTATATGCTTTTGTTTCACAGGCTAGAGACTGTATGTACTTTGTGATTTAATGTTATATGTAAATGACCATTTCCAAAATTCAGCAGTGACCCAATTTATCTTTAGTCAACAACACTCAAGTGTATTTGTAATCCTGATTGATAGAATATCTGCTTTAAATTTTGATAGAATGGGAAAATAATACAGAATTGAAGAAGAAAAGAAAATAATAATAGCAGTAATAATAATGCTATTAGAGATTTATTTTGTTTTTCAGGGTTTTCAACTGATCAATTCCCAATCAACCTACTGGTGAAAGATTGCATTTCCACATCAGATATACAGAATCAGAATCTCATGTTTAACAAGATTACATGGGTTTCTCGCTAAAATGTAGATTCATATTCAAAATACCAGGGTTGGACATGCACATTTTTTACCAGAAGGGGTGAGATAGATTCAACTGACTTGAAGCCTGGGTTTTACCTCATAATTTTACTCTTTGTAGCAGAGTTTACATGCAAATGTGAAAGAATAAAGTCACAATATTTTTTTTTAATCATGATATTTCTTAAATGTAATTCCATATGAGATGAAATATGTCATTTGGTACTCTAATTTAATATTTAAAATCACAACTTATTAGAATGAATAATCTTCATTAAATTGTTATAATGCTAATTATACAAACCACTTGGAAATAAATTTATTCCTGTCATAAATACTGTGTCTTTTAGCATGTTTAACACAATTTAGACTTAACTCAAAATAAAGAATATTTTTAGGAATTGCTTTTTTAAATTATAGAATTTGACATGTCACTCAATGGTTACATGGAAACCAAAGATCAGTAGTTTTAACCTACATAATAGTTCCATCTGAGAAAAAAAGTAGATGATCAGCTCCCTACATACAACATCATACAAAACTCTATGGGAAGTTCTCTTCTGTCTTGTAGGTCCTATGAGTTAGAATTGACTCAACAGAAAACAACATAACCTGAATTCAAATAATCCATCTGTTTTAGTAGAATAATAAGATTGGTGAAATCATGGTAATTCTAGTTCCTTCTTGATATAAAACCAAGATATGTCATATAATTTGCTGCCTCAGCATTCATAATTCCTCTGTCATGTCCTTTCTTCCAGTTTCTGATCTTATCACAAGTCATTCAATGGTTGTAATCTCTTACTGCCTCTCTTGGCCATATCCCACTCAACCATGATTTAAAAAAAAAAAAAAAAACCCAAAACCTATTAATGTAACCAAGTCACCCAAGGTTAGCAAGAATCCAATAGGATGTTTTGACCTGACCAAAAACCTTCAACATATGCTAACCCTGAGAAACCATCTTCTTTGCCATGCATAAGTCCTCTCCTTCAATTTGTACTTTCTGTTACCTTGGCCCTGCATGCAATTCCCATTGTGTTCCTGCGTATAGCTGGACCGTGGTTTTCTCTCTGTAATTTATAAATTTTATATGCTCTCCAGTCTACCTGTATGAGTCTCATTTCCTTCTACTACACCTGGAAGACCACCTAAGACATCTATAGACCCTCTTTGTATCAAACTTAAAATAAACCTAACACAAATCAAGTTATAGAATTTAAACTTTAATACATTCTCTCCTTTAATTATGGATTCAGAATCCTTTAATCACATTAAAGCAGGTGTGCTTTCTTATTCATGGGCTGATTGATGGATCCTTCAGATGACCACTTGTTTTATGACAACTCTTTAAGACCCCAGACACCATCCTTTATGATATCTAATCATAAACCGTGGTTCTTTCACCATGCTTTACAATAGTTCTCAAATCTTCACTGATTGTTACATGAGGGCTAAGTACTCAGTGCTACCACTTTGTGAGATTGTAAAATCTACTTGTTCTTTGATTAGACCATACACCATGCACAAATTCAACCATAGAATATATCATATATATATATATATATATATATATATATAGCACATAAACACACACACACACATATATTTGTGTGTGTGCTTAGAAGCCATGATAGTGTAGGTGTAGTGGGTTAGTTATTGGTCTGCTAACTGAAAGATCAGCAGTTCAAATACACAAGCCACTCCTTTGGAGAAAGATGAGGGTTTCTGTGTTCACAAAGATTTAAAAATTTACAGCCTCAGAAAATCTATACAGTGTCACTCTTAATCAGACCCGAATTGACGACACACAACCACTGCTATATACATATGGTAAAATCATGGGCAGAATCTGAGAAATTGCATTATAAGTAACCCCCATATAGCTTTTGATAAATCTAATACTGGTAGTATCATTATTCTAGCTTATAGTACAGATTTAAATACTAATAAAAATATATAAAGAAAAGTTTTTAAAATTAAAATATACGAAAAAATTCACCTGTACAAGTGTAAATTAAGACAAAATCGACTCAATGACACTTAAAAACAACAACAAGTGATAGAACAAATCTACTTCAAAAACAATGAGGGTTAGGCATTAAGCAATAATTTTAGTAGCATGCATTCATTCATGCAAGACTATTAGTTTACAGAAGCTAAAGTCATGTAAGGAAAAAGCGATGATAAGAAAGTAGGTAGTAAATGTACCAACAGTCTGTGGAAAAGATTTGCTGCCAATAAATCCAAATTGTAAAGGTCAGGCAACCTCAAAAGCAATAAAGAATGCTACAAAGTTCAATAAATTAACTCAATTCCCATAATCTTGGGAAAACTGTCCTATATTTCTTCCCACTAATGGTGTTTCAGCTTCATTTTTTTTTTTTTTTTTTAAGGTTTTTATTGTGGATTGAGTGAAAGTTTTCAGGGCACATCATCGGTTTCACATTCAAACATTCATATACCTTGTTTCATTACATTGATTATAATCCCCTCCACATACCATCAGTTAACAGAGTTTCTCTCTATCCTCTTTAGCTTTTTTGAGGGGGGGGGGGGAACTTTGCCTTTTTGGAATTTAAAGTCTCGGCTTTTAGGGAAGGTTTTTACATTTATCTGTGGATATCCAGGGATCACGTATACGATTACTAACAAGAATAACTGAATAATCAGATGAGGAACAGTTTGCTAGCAGCTTCATTTTTAATTGAATGTTTCAAATCCTTTAATCTGTGATAAGTGTGCTTAAAATTTAACGCAGCAAGATACAGTTTATTCTAGTGGACTTCCAAATGAGTTTTTATGATACTGTCTCCAATAAATAATATTATAACAATTGAGGGTGAAATCAGGCAGACCTGTGAATCAAGCCTCTCTGACCTTGAAAAATGCTATGACACTTTTCAAAGACAATCTAAAAGTCAAGTAACATAGCACATGAGGCGTAGGTAAGAAACAAAATGAAAGAAATTTTGTTTAAAATGGGATTTGAAGATAATACTGGCAGGACCCCACATGTTGGAGGTGTGTTTAAAATATGCTAAGTGCTCCTTCCTTTTTTCTTTTCAAATGACTGTCTCTTTGTTTATCTATAAGGTCTTCGTGAGCAAAATTAAGTGTCCTAGAATACCAATTCTTCACAATGTTAAACCAAATAAAGAGATATGAAATGGTTTAAAGTTATGAACCTAAGTTGTATCCTTTCACAAAACATATTTGATCTGTATGCTGAGTAAATAATCTGAGAAGATAGAATATATGAAGGAGAACATGGCATAAGGATTGGAGGAAGACTCATTAATAACATTTAATATGCAGATGAAAAACCTGGCTTAATGG